CTTCGATCTATCTTCTGAACCAATGGACCAATTTGCATGATTTTGACATATGTTTGTATTTGGAGTATACTGAAAATGTAAGTTTTATCTGAATGTGATGCATACTTTTAAAGTTATGAATAATGTGGAAAAACTATAAAAGTATTTCTCTGCCTGTGATAATTACATTACCCATTGTGTAAGGTAATTGTATCACAGGCAGAGGGGAGGATTTTGTGTGGGAGTGTCTGAGTGTATTGTATGTGTTTATTGGTTGTTTTCCAAAACCCTGTGGGTGGTATTAATGTGTAAGAATGTGTATATAAGAACAATAAACCCACAGCTCTGTCTGTTCCTGCTTGACCCTCAAAACGGAGTCTTGTCTCGTTCTTGGGGGGATTTATTGTATGCTGTTCCAGTTTGACTGCTAGGAGTGTAAACCTATTCGTATGGTTTTTCCTATTCAGCTGTCTACAGCATTCGTATGTTTGAGAGCATTCATTTGCTTCTCGGGTTCGGTGTATTGGTGTCTACAGTAGCTGTGCCTGTGTCTCTGGAAGGGAAGATCTACTTAATGGCTTTTAACCCCTTTTTATGTCTTGGGGTGCCGTTACACATACAGTACGTTATGCACAATCAGAAGCACAGTCACACACATACACAGTCAAATATAATCACATGTACAAAGTAGCACACAGTCTCAAACACACACACAGTGACACAGTCACACATACAGATGCACACACATGCACACACCCACACAGTCACATGCACACATTTACACACATACACTGTCACATGCGGGGACATGCACACATTCTCACACAGTATTATGCACAATCACGGTTACAGTCACACACACAGTCACAGAGTCACACATACACTGTCATACTCAGACACACACTTACCAGCATACAGCCGCACACAGACACACACAGTTACAATACCATACAGAAACAGGCATACACTCACCCAATTCCCCTCTTACCTTTATGGATACCAGGGGAAGGAGCAGAGAGTTGGAGGCGTTGTAATCTCTGATGTACAGTGGTTTACTCTCAGTATTTACTATGCTGTTACCAGACAGCAGATGCTGGCAGCATATAACTCCATAATGCCATCATTGCTCCTAAACTGTGAGAGAGCTCCCTCCCTCTACCTGCTAGACCTGGGTAGAGGATAACGAAATCTTCAGGACTCACTTGGCCACACTGCAAAGAGTAAGCAACCATCCATAGTACGCTACTGCTATAGAGAGATATTCTGATCATATGGGCCAACATGTAATATGAAAATAATCTGAAATATATATTTTTTGTTACTGTGTCATAACAAAAGACTCTTGTATGCTTATTATTTTTTAGCATTTCTATAGCCCTGTGCAGCGCTCAATAATACAGTTGTGCTCAAAAGTTTGCATACCCTTGGAGAATTGGTAATATATGAACCGTTTTTAAAGAAAACACGAGTGAGCAGGCAAAACGCATTTTTTTTATTTCTTAAGGGATTCATATTCAACTGTAGGTTATAACTGAATGACACACTCATAAAACATGGCAAGAAAGAAAAAAAATGTATTGCCCCCTTTAGCATCAATGACAGCATGCAGTCTTTTGTAATAGTTGTCTATGAAGCCTCTAATTCTTGCAGGTGGTATAGCTGCCCATTTGACTTGGCAAAATGCCTCCAGGTCATGCAAAATCTTTAGTCGTCTTGCATAAACCGCACGTTTGAGATCTCCCCAGACTGGTTTAAATGTGCCACTCTGGTCCGGAGACTCCTGAATCTTCACCTTTTTCTGCTGTAACCACTGGAGGGTCAACTTGTGCTTAGGGTCATTGTCATGCTGGAAAGTCCAAGAGTGTCCCATGCGTAGCCTTCATGCAGAAGAATGCGAATTGTCTGCCAATATTTTCTGATAACATGCTGCATTCATCTGGCCATCAATTTTCACAAGATTCTCCATGCCTTTAGAACTCACAACCCCCCCTCCCGAAAACATCAGTGAGCCACCACTATGGTTCACAGTAGGGATAGTATTCTTTTCACTATAGGTCTTGTTGACCCCCCTCCAAACATAGCGCTTATGGTTGTGACCATAAAGCTCTATTTTGATCTCGTCACTCCAAATTACAGTGTGCCAGAAGCAGTGAGGCGTGTCAAGGTGTTGTTGGGCATATTGTAACCAGGCTTTTTTTGTGGCATTGGCGCTACTCAACAATGCAGCTTATATTTGTTCAAGTATCGTCGTATTGTGCTCCTTGAAACAACCACACTTTCTTTTTCCAGAGCAGCCAGTATTTCTATTGGGGTTACCTGTGGGTTTTTCTTTGTATCCCGAACAATTCTTCTGGCAGTTGTGGCTTAAATCCTTCTTGGTCTACCTGACCTTGGCTTGCTATCAAGAGATCCCTGAATTTTCCACTTCTTAATAGGTGATTGAACAATACTGACTGGCATTTTCAAGGCTTTGGATATATTTTTATATCCTTTTCCATCTTTATAAAGTTCCATCACCTTGTTATTCAGTTCTTTTGGCAGTTCTTTTCTGCTCCACATTTCTCAGTATCTAGCCTGCTCAGTGCATCCACGTGAGAGCTAACAAACTCATTGACTATTTATATACAGACACTAATTGCAATTTAAAAAAACACAGGTGTGAGAAATTAACCTCTAATTGCCATTTAGACCTGTGTGTGTCACCGTGTGTGTCTGTAACAAGGTCAAACATTCAAGGGGATGTAAACTTTTGATCAGGGTCATTTAGGTGATTTATGTTATCATTATGATTTAAAAAGGAGCCAAACAACTATGTGATAATAAATGGTTTCATATGATCACTATACTTCAGTAAAATATTTTTTTTTGCATGATCAATCATATTTTCTAAATCAATGCCAACATTTCACAAATTCTGCCAGGGTATACAAACTTTTGAGCACAATTGCACAGTGGGGATATACACACCAAGTAATTGACAAACATAATAGCTGTTGGGAGACAAGAGATAAAAAGAGGGAGCTGCTCTAACGACCTTTCAATATGTAATGGTTAACCGTCTGTCTACATGCTCCAATCACAGGGCTCGGTCTTGCACACATGACTGCGCACACATACGTCCATGCTTCTTTTTAACCCAAGGAATATTCACTATTTGTAAGGAAATCCAATTTCACATTTTGGGCCAAAATAACTGAATGAGAGCAAATCTGAATGTTTCCAATTTGGCTTTTTTTTTCCTAAAATGTCAAATTTGCTTGGAATTCATTTTCAAATCTTAGCGATTCACACTATAGTTAATAAACTCACGTGGCACCAAAATGAGTCATTTTGTCCAGTGCTATTAAGGACTACGTGGCCAAGCAGGTTAAACATATGAAATACTAATTCCCTTTTCTACTGTACATGTGATAACAATTTGATAAGGGCAATGTGAAGATTAAATTTTATTTTCTGTAAAGTGACATCAAGTCATCGGGGGTATGACAGGTGAACTCTGATGATTCCTTACAACCTGACTCTCCAAAAATGGAATTTGATTATATGTTGATTATATATTATCCACGCCAGTGCATTGACAGACAAATAATATCATGCCAAACCATAAGTCATTCATAAGTCATTGTTTTTGAACGTTGCAGACTTTTTCCAATGCACGCTGAGTGAGATTTAGAGAACCTAATAGTCTTCATCTGGTTTAATTATCCAAAAATGCACGTGACCTTTCACCAGCCGTCTCTCCACAAGAAGACATCGTGTCTGCTTCTAATGTGCTAGTATTCCTGGAATGGCTGTCTTTATCCTGTACAGGAGATAATGTACTTCCCAAAACTCTCCAGCAGAGAGATAAGTCCAGTATTTAAAGAACAATGACAAACGGACACTTAAACTTCAGACACTGACGCACTTAGGGCTGCGTTTGCTAAACGTTGCACTGCGGTGAATTGATATGGGAAAGGGCAAAGGTAGGCCATCACAAAGTATCTGGAAAAATAAAGGTGTAGAAAATTTCTAGTTATCTATTTTGGGATACATTTTCCATATAAAATATATTTACTGTATATTATAGAGGTAATATTTGATAAAATAACATTTAATAAAATTTGTTGAAGGAAAAAAGTTCAATTTTTAGGTGTTTTTTGGTAGTGTCAATATAAGATTTAAAAAACTGTTATTTTGTAACTGCAAGAGTTGGTGAGGATAGAACTCTGATGTCTATGGAGGATTCTGCAAGATCCTCGGTAAAAATACCTTTTTTTCTCAAGTTGTCACTGGTTAAAGTTGAGGCCTTGACAAGATTTGACAAAAATATTTTATCTTTAAAAAATGCCCCCCATTTTCCTTGGGGGTAGGAGGGTGATAGAGCCGGTTAAGTATCAGAAGATAGAAATAGGTCAGACTATTAGTATGGTCACTTGGCTTGCAATAGGATCATTTGGATGTACAATTGTTAGGTTGACTGCACCATTCTAAACAGGACATATCATTATTTATTATTATTATTATTATTATTATTATTATTATTTATTTATCAAGTGCCAACAAATACAGCAGAGCTGTACATTGATACAACTGGTACAAGTAAAACGATAAAGGTACGATACATCTAAGAACATATAAAATTTAAATTTGACAAACATTTACAGGAGGAGCGAAAGGCCATATTCCCGTAGATGTCATCAACAGGAACTCTTGAAGAAACTGGGGCTCAAGTTCAGGATTCAGCCTATCAGCTCTGTTTCATCATTAGTCCAAGCAGCACAGAGGAGATGGTCTGCTGGAGTCTCTCGCTTAGCATTAAAACAGTTAACGTTAAATTGAAGGATGGTACCAGAGGACTCTAGACACTATAACCACTTTAATGAGCTGAAGCAGTTACAGTGCCTACAGCGTCCCTTTAGGATGTGCAGGTACTCTTGTGCTCAAAGTCTTTTAAATGTAGCTGAAGCTTCTAAAATATTAATGTTCCTGTAGACCTCCTTATTTTATAATTTAGAGTTCACTCCACATGTAGACCATCTCTTCACTCAATAATCTAGAGTTTGCTCTTCTTGTAGCTGTCATCCTTGTCCTAAAAAAACATCTAATATCACTTCAAACTTGGACCAGAAACACAGTGTAAAACAAGCACTAAGATTCCTAGAGGAGACATTAAAGACACGTATCTTCTGAAGTTATTGTGGTCCACTGAGAAGTGTGAGAATGAGAAATGGGCGCTGTGGACTAATTTTGTTAGATTTCCTCTTTTCCAGTTACGATTGAAAAAAACTGTCATCTCCTGAAAAAGATGAGGTGCTACCTGCATGTACATTGTTTTATTTTTTATTGATTTCCTTATCTGTTAAGAATTTGATGAGGCTGAAACCTGATCTTACGCTTGTGATTTAAATCAACAAACTGTACATTTGGCACTTTGTTGATCAACACATGGTTGTGACCAAGTGTTTGTAACATACTTCAACCACGTGGCCACATTCCCTTAGTAAATGTTCATACTTTTTTTTTCTTTTTTAGAATATTGAAGTAATGTTTTGTTTTTCATTTTGAATTCTTTACATTTAGCACAGAATGATGTACATGCACAGAAAAATGTCCACAATTTCCATCTTGATCATTCTTCGCTGACATACAATAGTATCCCAATATAACAGTATTTTTGTTGTCCTACTCAGTTTCAGAAAGAGAAAAAAATAAAATAAAGTCACAACATATGAAAGATTTGGTCCTTGTCGGCAGTAAATGGCTTGGAAAGAGACGTGTATCTCATTCAGGAGAAACAATAACGTTTAGTTCAGATTAAGGGGAGCAATCTCTATTCTATTATATCACAGAGACGTCTGATATCCTAAATCTCTCTGTGTTCATCACCGAGGGAATTAATGACATTTTAAAAAAGGATCAATGGGGGTTGAACACAGACTGAACAGCTGCGGTATCTGTACAGAGACAAGAGATGAACTATAGAATTTTTTACATTGTGCTCACATCTCCTACACCTTCCTTGCTGGAGAAGGAATGATCTGTGGCATCTTAAATTTAAACTATTGAATTACCACGGAATCTCTAAATTATACCCAACATTTAAAAACAAATATAGGGGAAAATGTGCGTCCTAGTTTAATTACTGTATGTAGTCTATCCTGTTTGCTAGTAACAGAATTGACCTGGATATAGAGCGAGATCTCAGGTGGAAAAGAAATGAGGGGTGCTTGTAAAAGTCAACTTTGCCCTTAGGTAAGCTGCTGCCATCTAGAGGCAAGCATTGACAAGTGTGTTTACCACCCACAAAGTTAGCATTTTAATTACTCACAGTCCGGCCTCTTGACAGGTGCATAGTCGTCATATGGGCAGGCGGAATCAGAATAAAACCCACCACATACCTAACCCAATAAAACACGGACACTAGGGTATATAGGTCAAAATTGTCCACAGCTTTTATTAATAATAGTAATAAATTAACATTGAAAAAGGTCATTGCCCCACCCCACCATACAACATCCATATCCCCCAGTTATATGTAAAAGGCAATGACCCATATATAAACACATAGAATATAAGAGTATTTCAACATGAACATAAATTAAAGTGACAATGTTTTAATTAACCATGGTAGGGGTATACCCGGATAACCCTACCCCATCAGGTTCTGAGCCACCGACGGGCTCAAAAACCTACCAAACTTACCAAGAACCATATTAACCATTTCCAAAACCATCCTAAAGGAGAGCCTATTTCCTATCCTTCTGCTCCCTATCCCACGCTGTGACAGGACGGGAAACCCCCCCCACCCCTCATTAATACCAGGGAGGGACAAACTCAGCCAGGTAGGCAAGTTAAAAGTGAATTTCCTAAGATGGTTGTCTATTTATACAGCCCAGCCCCCTACCCTCTAAACCACCAATCCCTACATAGCTTCCTCCTAATGCCCGCCTCCTATCCCTGTCAAGGCCCATTTCCACTAAGCTGTGCTTTTGCTCCTTGGGGCTACAATAGATGAACATATAAAAGTTTGCTTGCCATACACATTTGTAATCATTTATAAATGTGTAGCATGTTTAGTGCAATTGTCTTTAAATCCCTTACTGTATTTTAAGTACAACACCCCCACTGGGATAGTGGTCTATAATATCCCACCCTGTGGAGCCTAATAGTAAGCAGAGCAGTGAGCACTAGGTCCCTGTTTTCTCTATTTCTTTTATAGATTACAAGTGGACTTAATTGGTGCTGGGCCTATACCTTTGGTCTTTTCACTTTAACAAGAGGTATATATGTACCAAACAGCACTTTTTGAATACTAGAGTAATTTGCAGTTTGGGTCATGTTGACTCTTGGATTTTTATCCATATGTTTGTGTGACATACTGCTATAATTTAATTTGGAGTTATGAGGACACGACTGAAATGTACCTATATTTTATCATTCATTTATATATATATTTTTTATCATTCTGTGTAATTTGCATTTAACGTATCAAATAATTCTTCAGGCCATATTCACAGGAATATTTTGGTTTGGTTTTAGGTGCATTTACTTATGCTGACATATACTTGCATATACTATTATTTATTATATTTATTTATTATTATTTCATTTGGTGTGGTTTTTGCTTTTTATTAGCTCCTGGCATTGAGTGGGCATTTTTAAGCTTTACAAATATTGTGCTTTTCAACAAGGGGTTTTACAGTGACCTTTTTGCCAGTTTTAGATGTTTTAAACTGTCTCATGATTGCAATTGCAAACAGTATACAATTCTCTTACATCTAAAAATAGATGCTGTAAATTGCGTGCTTGATTGCTGGATTCTTCACATGGATGCATGGAACAGCAAGGCCATCTATGGTCCATGTCTGGATTTTGTGGTGGACTCTGATGCCAGTTTATGGGGCATTTTGACAGGAGGTACTTGGTTGGAAATGGAAGAGGGCCTCCACATCAACTGAGTGAAATTGGTAGCAGGTTCCTTAGCTATTTGCAGTCTTGCAAGGAATATGTCCAACTGTTGTATACTTCTTCACATGGACAATGTGTCTGCAATGCAGTATATAAATCATCTTGTGGGCAATTGTTTCGTAGTTCTGTCAGAAGTAGTGAAGGAAACCTATTGGTTTTGTCTTTAACGCAACATGACACTTCGGGCGGAGTATCTCCCTGGGGTCACCAATCTCACAGTGTACTGGTTTTCCCAACATTGGAGAGACAGCACCGAGTGGACACTGGCAAGATAGTTGTTCTTCACCTGGAGGCTCTGAGTGGTCCATTGGAGGTGCATCATTTCACCTACTGGATAAATTATCAACTATTAATCTTCTTCAGCTGGCTTCTGGATCCTGGCTTCATCGTGATGTGTATATTTTCCCACTGTATGTGATGATATTGAGAGTCATTTATTAAATATGCCTTCTGAGGGTGTGAATCATTTTGACCAACCCATTCTGGCAGATTCAGACATGATTTCCCAATCTTCTGGATATGATTCACAGGGACCCACTATTACTTCCATCATTCGCACCCTTTCTGAAAGATCCGCAAGGGAACCCTCGTCCTCTTCTGCTCCAAGACCGTCTCCCTTTAGTGACTTGTATTTGGAAATGAACCTCGATACCTTTGGGGCGCCTATTCTTACTATCCTGAATTTTCTTTCTCAGGTATTCACGACCGGCAGATACTTTTGATCTTTATGTCATGATTGCTATGACATCAGCTATTTCGGCACCCATGTTCCAGTACATGGCATTCCAGTCCGTTCGGATCCTTTGGTCTGCTGAGGGGTGTTAGGTTGTCTCGACCACTAGGCCTAAAATATACTCTCCTGTGGGATGTGTAGATATGGTTTCACTGAGACTGGCCGAAAAAAAAAAAATTGTCTTTGCGTCAAAAATCGATGAAGTTGACAATACTTTTGTGTCTGGTGTTGTTCTGTCGGGTTTCCGATGTTCGGACGTTTGACATCAATTTTTTTCATTTAATTTTTTCTCTAGATGGTGTCACTTTTACCTTTTACAACAGGACTAAGTCTTCTTCATCTTTAATTTTTTGTTCTTTAACAGTGTACCTAAACTTTGGATTGTGGCTACTATTTGGAGATATGTAAGTCACATAACCATTAGGGATTCCATTCACTAAGCAGTGGTGTGAAAACCTAATTCACAAAACTGAAACCAAAAAAGCTGGTTTAATGAATAAGGTCCTGAGCGAAAAGATTTGCAAACCCAAGAACAGGTGAGCAGCTTACTCTGTGCATTGTCCTTTCAAATTTGTTCTCACTGTGGGACTTCGACATAGCTTGAACCTGCGCTTATTTGTCCCCCAGGAATATTCCTAATAAAACCCACCATCAAGCCACTCCCCTCCCATTTAAACACAGACACCAATATTTCTTGGGAAAATATCACAGCTTGTATTAATGATAATTGTTTAAACATAAAATGTAAATAAGGGGTCAAAGTCAACATACTTAACGACATTGAAGCCCAACAATTTTCCAATGTGAGACATTTACAGACTATGACCCCTACATAAAATACAGCAAACTTAAAACATTTATCATAAGACACAAACAGTTACCCAAGCCACCAAGGGCATCTTTTTCAAAGCCACCAAAGGCATCCTTAACCACTTGTAGAGGTATACCGAGATGCTGCTACGCACAAAGATTCAGAGCAACCGATGAGCTCGAACCTACCAAACCAATGCAAACATAAACCATTGTTCCTGAACTAGAACTTCCACCCACTAACCAAGTCAACCTACCCCCAATTATCCTTATCCATCCCCGCCATAGCACAGAGTTTGACCTCCTCAAGCTACCTGAGCGCCCCCACCCACCTATCAAGAGCCTGTCTCAAATCTTTCCTGAAAACCCATGTTCAAGAAGTCCATAAGAACATCAGAAAGATGTTCTCCATCATACCTGAAATAGCTGGGAAGCATAGCTTCCAATTCTTTGTGCCTAATCACAACACCCCCCAATCTCTTAATGTAAACCGCCATTGACTGATTGACCCTAATGCGACTTGTAACTATCGCCGCAGGAGTTCCAGCAAAATGCCAATGGATTCGGAGCACCAACTCAGACCAAATAATAATTAGTCCGGGAACCAAACCTCTCACCCTCTTCATGGACTGCATCAATTCCCTTTGGGCTATAAGCCCTAAATCATTACCCCCAGCATGGATTAAAATACAATCCGAGACTATGCCCTGCCCTATTTTTCTAAATAATTCAGAGCATATGTTACTCCAACAAAAACCACGAAAACCAAACTAATGTAATGTAATGTAAGTAAATCATGAGGAAAGCCCAGCTGCATCCCCCTAGGTCGAACCGCGGCTCTCCGTTCCGCCCAGTAAACGAAGGAAGGACTTACTATCCAGGCAACCAGACCTAAAATAGAAGAAAAACATATAGAACTACACATAGTGAGCACTTTTACTTTCCCTGCATCCAGACCCAGTTGCCCCAAGCATAAGTGAAAAAACACGGGTAAATTGATATTTGTACATTGTGGATAAAAAAATAACCCCTCGCCCGCAAACGAACGGCCAGATACTGGAAAGTGCATCCCACTGGACATGCCCACGAGCCAGGTAAACAAGACAGTTTGACCAGGCAGCCCTTACCGAACACATCAGTTTTAGACCGATGTAGATAAATACCAACTTATCTTCTCCAACCTCCACATCAGAAAATAGGATGCCCCCCGCCTGCACCTGGTTCCTACTCACTAATTCACTAATATGAAAGGCTAAAAGAATGCCTAAACAAATGCCACCATAAACAACAGCACTTCCTATTGCGAAAAACAAAGATCTTGCAATGCCTTCAAAAACCTTCAAAAGTTTGATGGAACAGAAAGTGCTTTGTCAAGTCTTCCCAACCATTTAATTTGAATAGAAACTCCAACGCGGCTAGATTACGGTCAACAACCAACGGCGAGGCGCCCGACGCGAACAACCGACACATAAACCATAACAAAACATCTGGACGTACCTCCGCCGACTGAATCCCTTCAATACAGCCCCACGTCACATCCTATGAGTCCCATACTTTACTGTATGCTGCCCCCGTGCTTGGCGCCAATAACTCTCTGTTTAGTCTTCCAAGCATGAAGTCCCGAGATGCCACTGCTCGGCCAGGCAAGATAAACCTTCCACCTGTGCTTTCGGAGCCTCTGTGCGGAATCTCACCCACAGTCCCACAGTAAACAAGAAAGCGCATCAGCGATTACGTTCAAGAAACCTGGTGCATGATGTGCACGAAAAACAATATTAAATTGCATGCAATGTAGGATAAATTGATGTAGCAGTTGCACCACTGGTACTGAAGAGGCCAACAAATTGTTTACTGCGTCCACTACCGACATGTTATCAGTGAAGAAGACTACTTTCCTGTCCCACAATATGGACCCCATAGCGACAAGGCCACCAGTAATGGAAACATAGAAACATAGAATGTGACGGCAGATAAGAACCATTCGGCCCATCTAGTCTGCCCAATTTTCTAAATACTTTCATTAGTCCCTAGCCTTAATTTATAGTTAGGATATCCTTATGTCTATCCCACGCATGCTTAAACTCCTTTACTGTGTTACCCTCTACCACTTCAGCTGGAAGGCTATTCCATGCATCCACTACCCTCTCAGTAAAGTAATACTTCCTGATATTATTTTTAAACCTTTGTCCCTCTAATTTAAGACTATGTCCTCTTGTTGTGGTAGTTTTTCTTCTTTTAAATATAGTCTCCCCCTTTACTGTGTTGATTCCCTTTATTTATTTAAATGTTTCTATCATATCCCCCCTGTCTCGTCTTTCCTCCAAGCTATACATGTTAAGATCCTTTAACCTTTCCTGGTAAGTTTTATCCCGCAATCCATGAACCAGTTTTGTAGCCCTTCTCTGAACCCTCTCTAAGGTATCAATATCCTTACGGTCTCCAGTACTGTGTACAATACTCCAAGTGAGGTCTCACCAGTGCAGGGGCGTACCTAGAGCATTTGGCACCCGGGGCGGATCCTGTGCTTGGCACCCCCTTCCCCCACCCCCCTCCCCCCCAAAAAACCTGTAAAATGTTAAGGTTTTATTTCTTTATTTTTACAGATTTGTAAACTTTGCAAGGCAGCTGTCAGCCCCTCCTACAAAACCCTTGTCCTGCCCTGCCCTGCCTACAAAACCTCTGTCCTGCCCCTTACACGGAAATCTGCTTGCTGCCCCATTTTACGAAACCCATAACCCCTTCCACAAATCCTGCTTATCCCCCCTTATAAAGACTCCTGTCCCAATACAAAACCCCCACCCCTTCTACAAAATTTTCTGCAGCCCCACACACACATTTTACAGGCAGACAGTCCACTCAGTTACAGACCAGACAGTCCACACACTCAGTTGCAGACAGACAGTCACACACTCAGTTACAGGCAGACAGTCACACACAGTCACAGGCAGACAGTCACACATACACATTTCCTCTGTGCGGCCAGTTTATCAGCTGTTTGCTTGAGTGAGCTGTACTGGCCGCACGGAACCCTAACTACCATGGGACACTGTGCGGCCACAGCTCACACAGCCCCCTCCAGCCAGGGCGGTACAAGGATTTTTGCCGCCCAAGGCAAAAGTAAAGTTTGCCGTCCCCCATGTGACATCACAATGCCCCAGCCATATGATTTGCCATGTTAACTAACGCCAGTGCTGCAGTGCCGCCGTGTTTACATTAAAAGGCCTGCAGGGACGGGCTATAGACACCAGAACCACTACATTAAGCTGAAGTGGTTCTGGGGACTATAGTGTTTCTTTAATGTGAGGTAAATTAGAGCTTAGTGCCACGAATAATATACTAGATTGCCTACTTACAACCAGATGAGGATGATGATGGGCTCTAGCTGCAGTCTGGCTCCACTGGTCTGGTGCAGAACAGGCTCTCTGGGGGCGGTTTGTAACTGTGGTCACAAAAATCAATGTTCTGGGAGAACGGGAAGCAGCTCCATTTTTTGGGGGTCCTTTACACAGCTCAAGGTCTGGGTCCCAGGTCCACCTTCATGTTCCACCAATGAGTTTGTTCACAGGGGGTGGAGTGTGTAGGGGATGTCCTGATATGTGTGTAAGGAATGCATTGTGTGAAATTGTGTTTGTATGTGTAAGGGCTGCCAGGTGTGTTTCTGTGTATGTATGGGATGCATTGAATGTGTGTAGGGGGTGCATTGAGTGTGTGTAATGAATGCATTGTGTGTTTCTGTGTGTGTAAGGGATGCATTGTGTGTAACGGTTGCATTGCTTGTGTATGTGTGTCTGTGTGTGTAATGCATTGTGTGTTTTTCTGTGTGCAAGGGGTGCATTGTGTGTATGTGATGAATGTCAATCTCTCTTCCCGCTCCAATTTCCTTCTCCTCCTCCCA